CCCTGAGATTACCGCTCCACTGAGCCAGGTACTAATTTTGTCTTCCCCCCCCCCCTAAATTTTTTTTGACTCCAACTAGGATTCCTCCATGCCCCTACCTTTCCTGAACCTTTTCACTGCAGCTTGTTGCACCCACAAGAAATCATTGGTAATACTGTCTGAATGCTTCACCAGGTCATCCTGCTTGGTTGTTATCACATGGGTTTCTAATAGAATTATGATATCAAAATGGGCGATCTGTCCCCAGATCCGCTTAATTTTTTTCCCCTTCAAACCCCCTACATTCCAGCAGGAAGCCCCGATGAAGTCTGTGTTACCCCCTCCCTCTAGGATTAGTTTCCCTGAATAATTCTCATTATTATTGTTATTAACATTGTTAAACTTATTATTGAAATTCTCGTAAGACTTATTCCGTTCTATTAAGTTCTTCGCTCTGGTCTCCGACGTGTTCTGCAGCTCCACTCCTCTCTTCAGTGTCCCTGTCTCCTCGTCCCAGTAGAGTCCGTGCTCGTTCACCCAAAGAGTCTGCTGGAAGCGATTGACCCAGGTCTTCCTTCCCAGGTCCCTGGCACGGGTGGCCAGCTGTTTCAGATACTAGGTCACCTCCACCTGCCTGGGTGTCAGGTCATCTCCAACCTTGACACCCCTTTTCGCCAGCGATTCCACATAGGTTCTCGTCAGTAGCAGATTTTTGTTCTGCTCGTGAGACGTTAGTTTACATAGCAGCTCTCCCGAGCCCAAATTTCTCGCTGTCCTTATTACAATCTTCATTCTAGTGCAGCTTTGGGCTAGGGCGGCGAGGCGAAGTCCTTCCACACCTTTCGTAGCCCTTAATCGTTGGACTACCACGTTATTTAGTCTCTTCTTCCTTTCTTTTAGCTCAAAGCGTAGCTCCCCTTTCTCCATTTTATCTGGCGCACCCTGTCGCCAAGAGAGTCCTTCTATGGGGTCCAGGCATTCTCTATCCTCGTTCAAATTCGGGGTTCTCCTTCCCTCTCCGTATCCGACCCCCCCACCACCTCCGTTTACTTCTGGGGCCGTCTTTCCATTTAAGATGGAGGCAAACTGGGGGCTAAGGCTCACCTCAGCCTCATTGAGATTAGTGACTTTCACACCCCCATCCCATTCTTGTCTCTGTTCACTTCCTCTAACCTTCGGCGTCTCCTCTGTCTCCCCAGGACTTATTGCCTGCTGGGTTCTCTCCCATGATTTCACTCTGAGCCCCAGTCGGACTACCTGCTCTTTAACCTCATCAAAACCCTCCGCGACCCAGGTTTCAATTTTGCTCACCGCTTCTTTTATCTCACCCAGTTCCGACAGTATGTCGTTCAAGGATGATTTCACTTGCTGGTCCTGGGTCGTTTCCTTTCTCTCCTGATGGAGGAGCTCGTCCACTTTGGTCTCCAATCCCTCCAGGGTCTTGGCCAGGCCTTCTTATTGGCTCCTTTCATCGCCCAGCCTTCGCCCCCCTCTGTAAAGCAGGCAGGTGTGTGTATCCATCGACACCGTGTTTGTGCCAATTTTCCTCAATATTTTCAGAGGATCCCCCAGGCTTGTCTTCTCTGGTCCTTCCTCCTCCTTCCCAGAGTTGCTCTTAGAATTCTCCTGCGATTCTCGTGTTATCCCGTCCCCTTGTGAGCACTGCGACTGTGAACCCCTCTCTCCGCATTGTACACTATCCACACTCACTAACCTGTCTGGATCACGTCCTCTCTTTGCGTTATCTTGTCCAGTGGCTCTGGATCATCCCCATCCTCATCTAGGATCGCAGCGTAGCTTGGAATGGCCTCCCTCGTTCTCGGGACGCTGCAACTCCTCAGTTCTCTAGGTGGTGTGCGGGCCACTTTCACCACATAGTCCCACATTTTACCCACCGTTGACTCCTTCTTCGGCCTCCCCCTCGTTCTTTTGGCCTTCCCGTCCTTCGTTTCCGCTTTTTCCGAAGCTTCCTGTTCACTCAAAGCCCCCTTGTCATTAACACCGCTTGTGGAGCTCCTTCCAGCGGCCATCTTTGCCACCACAGTACTCGTTGGCTCACTCTCGAACTCCCGCCATCTCGCTTCCTCCTCGTTCTCTCTCTTCTTTCATTCTAACCGTTACTTGTTGTTGGGCTAGCTGTCCGCATATCTCACACCAGACCTAATTTCCACCCAAACCTATTCTTTCTCTCGATGCCCGACCCACCCAGCGGCAGTTAGACAATACTTTAATTACTCCTGTATCAAGAATAATTCCAAAATCGGCTAAAAACTGAGGGCCGATATTACCACGCGTCCACTTCCAACGGCGATCGTGGCGCCACCCAATATGTGCTTCTATTTGAAGTCTATTCAAAATTTTCTGCTTAAATATTTCGGCTGAAAAATCGATTTTTGAGTTTGGGGTGTTAAACTAGCAGACGAATGGAGTTGAATGGGGATGATTCGTGCACAATGGCAAATAATTAAATATGGGCTAATTTTCTGCAAGAAAATAATTCAATTTTTCCTGAATTTTCCTCGAATTTTCAAGGATGTCAAATATGGGCAGGTGCAGGTAGGAGCAAAACGGTTTCCTCGGACCCTAGCATGTACTATTCTTTGGCTGAAATATTGAAGCAGAAAATTTTGAATGGACTTCAAATAGAAGCCCATATTTCCCCGAACATGTCCACCGATGCTAGGGTCCAAGGAACCCGTATTACCTCTACCCTCATTTGACCCCCATTTAACGTCCTTAAAAATTCAGGGAAATTTCCGTAAGAATGGCATTATTTTCTTAGAGATAATTAGCCCATATTTAATTCTTTTCCATTATGCATGAATTATCCCTATTTTGGATATCATTGATCTGCTAGCTTAACGCCCTTGTGACGTGAGGACCTTTAGTCTCACGTCGGTTATATTTTATACGAATATTTTCTAAGAAAAGAGCGTCCCAATGAACGTTGGAGTTGGGACGATGTTAGAGTCAGCAGTCTCACGGTGCTACATGAGTCCAGTTCCCCAAAAGCAGAGCTGTGTTACTGTGTTGAAGACTGTCAATGATGGCAGCATGACTGTCTTAGAAGACAGCACCGTGAGACCGCTTAAATAAGCGTTTTTGGGTCTGCAAGGAGTTGGAGTCCCCAGAAACTAGCAGATCACGGTTAAAGGCGGAACAGGACAGTCGGTCCTTCCTCTGAATAGTCGAGAATTCCAATTACTAACGCGTGCACTGAACCCGGTTTAATTCTGTCTTGTACGACACAAAAGAGGATATATTAATTATAATATAAGTTAATCGATCCGACTGGTGTCATTATTTGAAGACATTTTCTCGATTTGTCCTGAGTTTATCCCTCAATTGAGCGAACTCCCCGTGAGCTCTTCCGAACGTGCTCCCGGAGCTGTGGGTCAACTTGGCGACCCGAGGAGCTCTATCCAGAATGACTAGTTCTGGGATAGAAAGTCTCAAACGTCACACCCTAAACACAAAAATTGATTTTTTGGCCGAACTATATCAGCAGAAACTTTAATTTTTCTGCAGTCAAAACGTACATGAAACGCCCGTATTTTTTAGGTAATTGCCGACCCGATCTGATGACCCTGGTCTGCTAACTTCACGGGGCTCAGCTACGACATATTATTTTGCAACTGTGCACGGTAAAAGAGCTGGCGATGGAGAAGAAGCTGTTTTCAAAAGAGAAGCCAGCCGTAAAAGCCTCCAAATCACTCGCGCTGAACCTATCCTTACACCAGATGATTTGTTTCTATGGGCGGATTCATGGAATCCGTTTCTATAGAACGGATCATTTTCAAAGGATTGATATTTTTTTCTTCACGAAAGAAGATTACAAGAATGACACAGCAGAATTGAAGACAAGATTTCATAGTATTGAACTCATTCCTGCTCTCCAGAAGCTACCCTAGTGGAAAAACATAAGGTGGAGGCGTAACATGCCTGATCAGAATTTCGGATCGGACTTGATCAGTTTCTGATCGAGACCTGAACAGCATTTCCACTCGGGTACATTGCTTTAGTCCGGGACTGAAAAATCGATTGCGGATTAAACATTATTCTACATCCGGTGATGAGGACATTTTTCCGAAGGAAATGCAACAGAAGCGACGTTCTAGGCACTAATTAAGGTACGAAAGATGCGACAACTTCACCGACGTGTTATCGGTGAATGTGACACTGGGCAATGTGTATAAATTTTTTGATTTTTTTGCCCTCAGAAGAATTTCCACCACTTTGAAAATCATTCAAGGCATTGCTGACAGTTCATTTACTCCCAAAGAATGAAAAAAATGATCAATTTCACCTTGTCCTGGGATTAATTACACAGATGCTTGAAAAAGTCATAAAACAACGAAATTTGAAAGAAACAATAAATATTCTCGTTCACTTATGCTGGGTTCCATCTCGAGAAAATTTTCCGAGTTTTTTTTCTATCTGAAAAAAAAATTGGGATCGAATATCGAACGCCCCTCTTCAAAAACAAAAATAGAACCGGATTTTTTTAAATCAAAAAACCGGGTTAAAGGAACTCCAAGAGCTCTCAATTTTTTTTTTTTGAAAAATGCACGCAAAATAGTAGATTATGTCACCAGGCAATAAAAAAATCATCTGGCGAATGTGGCTTTATAATCCGAGCCGAAGGCGAGGCATATAATCACATTCGTCAGATAATACTTTTATCACCGTGTGACATACAATATTTTATGTCATTGGGCCCGAAAACCGCGATCGAACCGAGCGAAGCGAGTTTATTGGGCCCAATGACAAACAAAAAAAATTGGTTTTTATTCGTTTAAATCCGATGCACCGTTCAAAAGATATGAATTTTTGAAATTTCCAAGTCTGATCAAGATTATCTCAAGAACCATATATATAGTACGTAAAAATGACAGTAGTTGATAATTTTTTGGGGACAAAAAGAATGGAGGTGGCTGAGTTGACATGGAATGTCCCTTCAAAATGTTATAAATTTTTTTCCTCAAACTTTCTACCTTCAGATAATTTCGTGGTGAATACAATTAGATGAAACGACTTGACACGTTTTGCCACTCAAATATAAAAGCTGTAACATAATAAGGACCTATCATACCAGCAGCTTTGAGCGGTTTCGGGAAAGCCACCACATCAGGCTGCTTCCTCATTCCGGGAGCAGTAAGCACCAGCCAATCCCACTCGCCAGGTTGCCTGGGAACTGGATGATCTCCCAACCTCGTTGCAATATCCGTAACTCTGGGACGGGGCCTTGGTCTCACTGCCTTCGCCAAAATCCTTAACTCAGCTGAACTCTTACTCGTTAGTTGCGGTGATGCACAAAGATGTCTCAATGGTGCAGCATTGACCGGTTGATGAGGAGCTCTTGCAGCATGTCGAGTTCTGAGTTGTGCAGCGCAAAGACGTCTCGCAGCTCTAGCCAACGCAGACGTCCTCAGATAGAATGCTGATCTCGTCTTCATAACAGGTCTAGGCGATCCACTTCCTCCACCACTAGCGCCACTTCCCCTTAAATCCACCCCATGGGCAGAAGCATAATGACGGCTGAGATGAGCCTTCAACTTAAATTCCTTCCCGCAAGAGGGAATGGAACAGCGATGAGGTCTGTGTGCTCCACCCATCCCTTTACTCTCTTCATCAGAGCCTGCGCCACTCCGTTTCCGTTCTGAGTCTGAATCGTCGATTCTCGTAGGGACTTTGAGACCTCCATACTTTTTCCAGTAAGTCCAGCAAGACTGGCAAAGTCTGCATTGCATATGCGATGGTCCCCATGCATACCATTGAGAACTCTGGCTGCACTGGCAGCTCTCACAAGGCTTTCCATTCACTCCAGCCTGTGAAAATAAAAATTGAAGAAATTCAGAATGAAAATTACCAAATTATGTGATCGTTCAGAATAACTTCACAAGTGATTTCCGATAGCTTCGTAGAATAAAGAACTTGACGTCCAGTACTATAGGTCCCAGTTAGATTTGACTGCTAGTTAATTTCTCTCTCACTCAGATAGATTAGACTATCTTCTGTTTTGTTTCTCAACATGAAGTCAAATCTTGAGTACTTGGACTTGGATAACTTATAAGAAAATCTTTAATCACTAATTGGTCACTAGTTTAATGATTTAACTCTGTAAGGTGAATTTGAATGCCCCCACTCTATGGCCGCTAAAGCGGAATACTATTCCCACTCGAGCGTCCCAATACGCTTTATGACGTCTTTCGCCTTAAAGGGTTCAAGAAAAGGTATTAGAATTACGTTTCTTCCAGAAAGATTCACTAAATATTTTGAATAAAATTGAGATATAAATCGACTTATCCCGAATTGTCACTCGTTACCTCGCTAATGCATGATTCTAAGGGATACTGATGGCCACATTGAGATTTACTAAATTCTAAGTACTTAAGTACACAAGCACCTAATACTTTCGAAATAATTAAGTACAAAGTCGATATGTATTTAGGAATCAATCCATCTTCTAAGTCAAAGTACATTAAGTGCTTAGAACTTGGGTCAGTTAAAGTACTGAGTATTTGGTGTACAGTACTACTTGTGTTCGTGCTTAGAAAAGTTCAAGGACAAAGTACGTTAAGTACTTAAAATTAGAAGATGGATTATTAATGGATGGATTTCTAAGTACACTAAAGATTTGGTACTTGAAAACAGCCTAAGTGGTATGTCGCAAATATTCAGTATTCAATAACTTCCCAAATACCAGATACCCCATTGTCTTCGTACTTAGGCACTCCCGGTACTTGAAAGTATCCGAAAATATTAATTTCCTTATTTAACATAAATTTGTTTCAGTTTCTGTTGAGTTTCTACTGAGAACTCTTGATGCGAGCGCAATTTCCACTGAGGAAATAGCGATCAAATGTTCCTAAAGCAATCGAACACCATTGCAGAGCAAATCACAACAGAATTTATTGACTATTGACAAGGAGGAACCTCTGAAGACTTTGGGCCTCCTCTGGAACTCATCTTCAGATACCTTGCAGTACCAGGTGGATATACCCAGAGGAACTGTGGGTGATACATAGCATGGAATTATCAAGGGAAGAATGATAATGCCGAAATTGGGCCAGAGGAACTGGAGTAGGATCAGACACTAAACGACATTCAGATACTCAGAAATGTGATTCCAGGGAATACGTGTGATGAATTCGACGTGTTTGGTATCGGTGATACCGCAGACCGTGCATTTGGTGGATGCTGTCAGCGTGGATAGCATTGGGATCACTCACTCTAGACTTTTACGTTCAAAATCACACGTAGCCCCCTTGAAAACTATTTCTCTACTAAGGTTGGAACTGGAGGCAGAGCTACTGTTCACTCAGCTGTATCAGACAGCTTTCAGTTGCTTCGGAAATAGAATCAATGAAACGAAATTATGGAGTGACAATAACACGATCGTGTTAGAATGGCTGCAGACTGAACCGAGACTCACAAGACCTTCCTAGCAAACAGAGTTGCTAAGATTCAAGAACCACCGAACAAGTGACATCGCAACATGTACCTTAGGAGCAGAATTCTGCGACTTGGTGCCCAGGGTATGTTCACCGGATCATTTGAGGAATAATTCATTCTAGTGGAACGGCGCTCACTGTTCCTGAAGAATCCAAAGTCCTGCACTCGTGAAAGAGCCAGCTAGTGACTTACCCGAACTGAAGATTACATCTATCATTCTTGCTTCTACCACTAACTATACGATATTCACGAGATGTCCCCGGGATAAAAATTTTTAGTCTATTGGATCTCTCCACGACTGTGAAAGACTAAAATCAGTCTGCCTGGGTCTTCCGTAACCGGTTTCGCATCTCGGAGAGTCTTTGGTGAGAGACTCGAGTCTATCTGAATCTTCGCCAACACGGTAGAGACTAGAGTCTCTCATTGAAAGATAGGGACTTAGAATTTTCGGGACTGATAATCAGGGTCAAGCAAAAATTAATTATTGATTCATTAATTGTTAATTAAATAGACACTGGAGCAAGTATAATATAGTACAGAGGATGGATGGGGGGGGG